GAGACGTAATTTGAGCCTTTCGTTGCACAAAACGATCACCTTCATGAAACAAAAAGTTGAGAGATGCGATGAAATAATGTACAATTAATAATAATTAAATTCGATGTAATAATGTTTGTCGTTTAATGGTGTTGAACTTGATTATTGATTATTTCAAGTGCTTTGACACTTAAATTTAACATTTTTTTTTAAAAAGGGGAGATAATCGATTTATACACTGAACGGCTCATTTATAGGTATTCGTTTGTTCTACTTGATTTTTATCCACTTCTGCATCGTTGAGAATGTTTGAAAAATTCTTCCGTTGCAATGTTCCACTTATTCGCCCTTTTTTTTAACCAAATAAATACTCTTTATGCATGGGACGTAATTTGTAGGTATCCGACCGTTCTGTTCGATTTTGATTAATTTTTACGTTGTCGGTATATGAAAATGTTTGAAGAATTCTTTTCCGGGAATGCTCGCGATGAGAACCACGCGAAAGAGAAAAACGCGTCGCTACTCCCGATACAGGGGGGCGCGGCAGCGTCGGTTCGATAACAACTTAAAACCAGTCAAAGATGTAGGACAATTTCGAGACAGATATTTCCGGATCGTTGCACGACGTCGTTATATTTCCCTTTACGGCCAACTGTAATTTAAAGTACATTTAAAGGTTTTACATTCATCGTCCCGCGAACGTTATCGGAATCTATTCTCGCGTCTCCGTTGCTCTTCGGCTTTCGCCGGTCTGATCATTTGCTGGCATTTCTTACACATCTCTGCGCCAATCGATCGGACGGTACGCTCGATTAACTACAATTCGTCTTAAAACCGGCGTTTCTAAGTAAACAGCCGATAGCGAAGGAAAAACGTCCGAGGAAGATGTAATATTTAGGAGGAAAATGATGTCAGGAAATTGCATGCGCTCAGGCAAAACCAAGAGTCAAAGTATGAAAGTTCGAAAACCGACATTATGTTCGTACGAATAGATACAAAAGTCGGCATTCCTGCAGTCGAGCAAAGATCGCCGTGACCAACGACGCCCTAGAAGTTGAACGAACGCGCCGATTTCGATAAATCATCTCGAGAGCGGTGTTAACGTTGGCTGGCACTTTAAAAGCATCGCGCGTGTCAGGTTGAAACGCGAAGAAGCGCGTCGCGCGCGCTCGTTTTAAGGGCGGCATGGAGAAGGGAGGGGGAGAGAGCCGACAGGGGGCAAGAGAAGAAAGAACGGGGCTGCAGGCCGGTGGTTTTAGCGGCGAAGAGGATCAGGGACGGGGAGGGAGCGGGAGAAGAGAAACGAGGGGGCTCGGTACGTTTTCGACGTACAAAAAGTAATTATGGGATGGTTTCCGGTAATCATATCTAGAGCGCATTGAACGAGCGCATTGTTCGGCCACCCCTTCACCGATATGCACTTGTACGCGGCGCCAACCCCCGTGCACCCTTCCTTCCATTCCCAGTCCTACGGCTCTTCGGTCCCACTTCTACCCCCGTCCTGCGACCACGCTACTAGGTTTACCACCCTCGACTCCACCTCGCGTTATGTACGCCACAGATTCGCCCGACCATCCTGTAGACCCGACACGACCATTAGACGTCCTCGTTCTCGCTGTGCCGCGTTCCCTCCTCCATCAACTTGCTCTGGGACCTCTCTGTTACGAGCAGCGATCTGCTCCTTGGTGGCCCTGCCGTCACCAAGAGGATCTTCCCTTCCACGATCTCCTCGGTTTTTGTCGGAACGCGGCACGTGGCCCACGTCTTTCACTACACCGTGTTGCCTCGCGTAATGTCGGTGTTTGAGATACTCTTCAAGTACAACGAACACTGACTACCACGTACACTGCCGCTCAAAAGTATGCGAACACTTCCTTAACCAGTCAATTTTAGTGCTGCGTCCGAGAGTTTGAGTTCTGCACTCAAATTTCAAGATATTTTGAATATCTTGGGGCCAGGCCGGAATAAAACGAAGGAATAAAGAATATGAATAATTTGAGATGAACTTGTGCGTCCTCGTATGCACTGGTTGAAGCAGCTTGTCATTTCACGTAACGAATTTATTTATGCTCGATGATAAAATGTTTTATATGTAAAGGCGAGAGTCGAGATGCAGCTAGCCTAGCGCTAAAGCCTGAGAGTGATTTATAACGGGGTTCTTTATTAGTTCCTTTCCAGTTATTTTGTTACTAACTGTTTAATACGCATGTCATGTATGTTTATGTTAAGCGATTAAATAAATTGAACTTTTCGTCTCTTCTAGGCGCTCGACTAGCTAAGTAACCGTCTCACCGTAATATTTGTTATTGAATCAAGTCGTTCCATCAAGTATCAACTGATACGAAAGATAATCTTCTGCTGGCCAATGCAGGTCACGTTTATTAACATGTTTTTCAGACGACATTTGTTAGCGCTTCCTGCGATGAATTGAATTTTTTTTAGGCTTTTTATCCTTTGAACGTAATCTACGTGCACACAATGAATGACTTATCTATCTATCTATCTATATGACACGATGCGTGTTCGTTACTTTGCCATTCATGAGTCATTACACATACATCTGAGTTCTGCATTCGTAACTTGTATCACCTGCCAACTCTTTCCCGTACTCTGTATCGCGATGACTTCGTCTGCTACCAAAGAATGTATACCAACCGTAATACATAAATAGATACGCTTTAGACCGAAAAAAAATGCCAATTTCTCGATTAAAATACGTAGTCGCTCACCGGACCGTAAACTTCACGCTTACGAAGACATCGTCGCCGATTCGTTTCACGAAAAGTCGTCGCGCTCGCGACGGTCGCAGAGGTTAAAAATAAATTGGAAGCGCAAACGCAAGATCGACAAGATCGCGGCTACTCGGTCGTACGCCGAACAAAGCCTCGCGTGGCATCCGAGCGCAGGTGAAGGCAGCCTAAATTTGACCCTCGACGTCCACGATGACTTTTACCGGTTGGATCGGTCAAAGGGCGCGCTATAGTGGCCGGTTCGCTATGAGAACGCAAAGATTTCGTTCCACTGCCGTTACTTGCTACGCCCGAAGTGTTAATAGAAAAAAATTCGAAAGATAAATACTTAACTCTCACTCGTTGAACATTAATTTGAATTTGACTTAAATATACAAGAATCACTGGAATAAAATCAGTGGAATAGAAACAAATTCAAGACTCTGGTCGCAAAGACAAGAAAAGATAAATACTTAACTCTTACTCGTTGAGTATTAAGTTGAATTTGAATTACATGTACGAGAATCACTGGAATATGTAACTTTGCGATCCAATTTTCTATCGTTGATATAACGTTACTAGTTTTCGATATTATAAGTAACTCTTCGTTTCGTTTTTCCTGTCACGAAGCACAAGTTTCCCCAAATTAAAGAAACGAATAAATAAACGCCCCTCGGGAACTATGTTTAATCATAGCTACAGTACTATAACAATGCATTATTTATGAAGAACTTTTAGTGTAATAAGTATTATATATGATTACACGCTTTAATTAATAACTGAATGGAATAAATAATTACATAGATGGGGAATACTGGAATCGATAGCTATCGTAGTCAGCGTTGTTATTGCATCGAGTTCGCAGCGCCGGATTCAGCGGATAGCATAAATTGAACTTGTCTCCGAACGAACCGCTCAAAGGGGAGAGAATGTGTGAGATAGCGAAGGAAAGAGCAGAGGGCAAAAGCGAAAGAGCACTGGAGCACGGAAGCGCAAAGGTGCGGAAGTGCAGAGGTGCAGGCCTGCGACCTGACTGACCCTGCGTCGACGGCCCCGTCGTCTTCGAGGCTGTCGGCTCACCCTACTCCGCGGCCGCAGCCACCCTTACCCTCACCCTTAGCCTCGGGGGTGGATGAAGCCGGCCCGGCCCATTTTTCGCGCCCCACTTGACTCCTCGTCCCCATTGGTTGCCTCGCCCTCGCCCCGTGACCTCTCTTCCCTCGTCGTTTCCCGGCTACCTTCCACCTAGGATGTGACTACGTCCGAGTATCCAAGGAAACCGAAGAAAATCCGTGAAAGACGAGCAACGGCTCGGTTATCGTCTCGAGACCAAACCACGAACCAGTCTTCGTTTTTTCGACACTTACGACTCACTCGGACTATCGACTTTCCTTCCAACAAGAGTTTTCTCGAGAACCACCCCTTTATCGAAGAGGTATGGGGCGGTACCGGTGGTCCACCGGTAGCCAGATGATTATCAATCTTGAGATCAAAGTGAAATTGGCTCAGTTTTGTATAAAAATCGAAGATTTGGCCATCTCACCCTTACGACGCTTAACCACCGTTTTGGAGCAGCCTGATTGACAAATGATCAAGTCTGACGATGTTTTGTAACACTTCCACGGTACTGAAAGTCAACAAAACAATTTTTGAAATTCGGTATTATACCCGGGGTAGGTTCTCCGAACGTCGAGCAAATTTTAGGAGCAAAATTTTGGGGGAAACTATGTTCGAAACTCGATATGATCAAGTTGGAGTACGGTTTACGATCTTCTAAGAAAGTAGACGCAATCGTTTTATTTTAACATGCTCCGTTTCTCATCCATGTATCCATTTGTAATTTCGACGAGAATCAACCCCCTTTGATGCAACGTAACTATAAAAATACATTTCCAGCACATCGCGTTGAATTATCTTCGAAATTCTTTCCGTCGACGTCAACGATCCCAAGGTGCATCATCGATCGCTACGTCGACGAGCATTTGTACCAACCTATTTCGTTGATCGTCGTCGCGATACACCGTGCGCGCGAAAAAAAAAAAAGGGATCGCGTCCCTTTAAAAAGCTTTTACGAGATGGAAAAGCGTTGACAAAGAGCGGAGTAATTCGGCCCGTCTGCGAAACTGGTTCGATTTCGACGGGTGTATCAAAAAATCGGTACGCCTGGTAACCCTGGACGAGAAAAAGAGTAGGAAACGAGAGGCAGAGGATCGCGCGTTTGACCGCTAGAGTTCGAGGGAAGGGGTGGTGGCGAACGAAGGAGGAAGGGAGCGAGCGAGAGAGTGAGCGAAGCAGCGAAAGGGAAGAAGTAGAAGGCTGGGAAGGGAAGGAGAGAACGTGCATACAGCTCTTCAGCGGAAAAGTGGTCACGGAAGGACGCTCGACTCGGTCTGAACGGACAGGAGAGGGGTCGGAGGGCGCGAGGGTAGGGCAGGTCTGCAGCCAATGAGAGGCGCATCGGGGCGCGCCCGGGACTCGACCCCACCTTCGGTAGTCATGGCAACTCGCGAAACCCGCGAGAAACCCGCGAGAGAGTTCGCGGTGGTAGGGAGCAGGTCGGTGTCAGGGGTCGTCTTAGTCGGCAGTCGGTCTCTGGTCGGCCCCAAGAATAGTCGTATCGACGAGGCGGTAGTCGAGTATCACCTCACTTCTCCTACTCCTGCTTGTGCCGGCACGAGCACGCTCGGGAACATAGAGGCACACGCGCAGCTTATCGACTGGACCGCGCGCACTCCGTCTCTCTCTCTCTCACACACTCCTCCTACGCTGGTGGATCTCGCTCTCTTCGGCGAGCTTCCTCTCTCCCATCGAACCCGCTCGACGTCTCTCGCTCTCTCTCTGGCGCCTCTCTTCCCTTTCTCCGACGCTTCTTTCCTCCCCCGTCCGCCTACCCACTCGACCACCCTCCAGTGCGCGAACCGCGCACACCCTCACCACCCTGTGTCTCGGTGGCCCGCGCCACCGCGCATCCGCCCAGCGTCGATATATCACGATACCGCGGATACAACGTCGCGAGGATACGCCGATCTAGCGCGCGCGATCTCGATCCCGATCTGGATCTCGATCTCTCGCGGCGAGTGCTCGACCGGGTCGAGCGTACACGGTGGTGACACGAGAAAGACGCGTTCCCCAGTTTCTCGGCGGGATATCGGGCTCGCGAGTGTGAAGTGCGGATTATACAGCGCGTTTGCCGCGTGTTTTTCGGATCGGTCGGTCCGTCGACCGGCCACAGTGATCGCGAGTGACTCGTCGTTCGATTAAAGGACGCACGATCTCGCAGTGGACGGCTCGAATTAGGAAATTGGCCGAATCCTTAGCGGAGGGACCGTGTCGCCCTCGGGAGAGGAGGCTGCTTCGGTGGTGGGTGAATCACGATGCGGCTCGGGACGACGGGATCTCGAAGTCGCGGGGACTCGAAGCAGTGCGCGAGTGAGTGAGGAATAGTGCTGCGAGGATTTCGTCGGACCGCGAGCGAGTTAGTGCACGCGTAACAGTGCGCGTAAGGAGAGCAGACGAAGGAAAGAACGGAAGGAACGATATCCAAGGCGAGAGGGCGATTCGATCAGCGTAAGATCGCGGGGTGGTTCGAGCCCGAGGAAGAAGCGAGCCAGCGTCCGCGAGACGGCCGCCGCTTCGGGGTGGTCGGTGGTCGCGAACGAGCAGCGGAAACCGGCAGGGTGGTTCGAGGCGGGACAGGAGCCGTTGACGCCCTGGCGACTGCCGGGGTGGTTTACCCGGCCGCGACAGCGACGTTGTTCCCTGGCCGGGTGTCGACTGGACACCACCACCCCGAGTTCACCACCACGTTGGAGGTGGGGTTCCCGGCGCGCGGCTCCACCGCCTCCATGGCGTTGGTAGCCGCGCCGCCCTCGTGGGCCTCGCGGGACCCCGGGGCCAGCCTGGCTGCGACCGGTGCAGCCGCAGCGGCAGCCGCGGCCGCGGCCGCCTCCGGCGCGGGTCCGGGCCCCATACAAATTGCTCCGCCGCCCCCGATGCCCCCCGCGCACCTCACGCCCTCCCAAACGCCCGACGACATCACCTGTCTGGTGCCCGCCGGAGCGGTTCTCACGCCCAGGGACCCCTTACCGCCCAGCACCACACCCGGAAGTCAAGCCAACAGCTCTCAATCCGGCAGCTCGCAGACCGACAAATCACCCAACATCGAATGCGTCGTCTGCGGCGATAAGAGCAGCGGCAAACACTACGGACAATTCACCTGCGAGGGTAAGTGCACGTCACCCTTTCGCCATCGACGGTGCAATCGGGGGATGGGAAATTAAATCGCTACCGCACGGGGCGCGTGTACGGCCCCTTGATGGGAAAACGTGATTCCTTTTAGCTATTAGGAATACCGCTAGGTCATCCCATAAGTTCGCGCCGCAGACTAATCCAATATTTAATAAGAAAACTACAGAAATTTGTATAGTGACGGTATAATGACCATGTCAGAAAAGTGGAAAAATATTGTAAAACGAGAGATTGGTCTACAACCACGAGTAAAACTCGTGATATTTCGTTTGGAATCCCTACCATTTATGTTTACTATGGTCGAGGGGTGAATTTGAGTAGCAGAAGAATAAGTGGCATGAACTCATGGGACGACCTAATAGTTTCATTTGCATTCGAGGTAGTTGGTCCCGAAAAAGAATAAATCTCAGAGATAGACTCCTGCTGCAAAACCAAGGCAAAGTAGGCGATGAAAATGTATACGTTCGGATACGGGCCAAACGCGAGGAGTCAATCTACGTCCTTTTTCGTGACTACGTTAATGGCTCGCTTCGAATCTCCTTTTCGCCTCGCGGTAGTTTGCGATCGTTACGCAGAGGTGCTAATAAACATCATCCTCATGTCTTGGAACGGTCCACCAGGTGTTGCATTCGCATACGAGCCCCTAGGAATGCCCCCTACCACCTGAATCTACAACGTAGCAACCCTCAAATCTCACCTTCTCTCGTATACCAACTTGCCTACGGTCCCATATTAACCCATGCTTTCTCCAAGGGATGATAAATAGTCCTCATAAGTCTCCTCTGTTTCCTGGCGAATCGGTACTGTAATCGATGCACCCAATCGGCAATTCTGTATCTCATCGGCAAAAAAATAGTAGTCTGTTGATTCCTCGTCGAGAGGGCACGCGGCCAGCGCTACGCGGGGGGCTCGCGCGTCAAAGAAAGAGGGAGAAGCGGATCGAGTGGCGCGTCCTGAGTCCGGCGGGCGAAAAAAACAAAGACTCGCCATTAATAACTCGGCGGGGTGTTCCCCGGAACGCTTACGCGTCTGTTACGAGCCTAATAACGATGTAATAGGGCCGAGGAATTGCGGTGGGCGAAACGAGGACAGAGTCTGAAAGGGAGAGCGACCGAGAGTGGAAACGGGGAACAGTGGGAACGGTTTATTTCGTTCTTTGGCGGTATTTCCAAGACACGTTTCAGAATGAGGGAAACGAGCGCGATTTAATTTCGGAGACGCCATTTTTGTGTGCCGTTGTATCGTGTTTCTTCGTCGCGGGGCGATGATTTCGCTCGCGTGCTGCCTTCGAGCGGTCGTCGAGGAGGAAACCGTCGCGGAGCTTACGGTGACTCGAACTCGATGGTCGTCTTTGGATATTCCTCGATACTTCCGGTATAGCCTCTCCGACTCTTCGAAACGCCCTGAGTTTTGATCCAAATCTACACGTTTGTATAATGGTGGCATTGGTAGTTTTATACGTTACTATTACGTGTTTGGACATCATTCTCAGTTCCTCTGGCACTATTGGGGAACTCATCTCTCGAAGGAGGTAATGGCATGACACTTTTCAAGATGTATTTCGCAACTGAAGCTTTGAAAACATGCTCGTCTACGGTAGATTCTCCTATCCGTCGGTTAATTGCCACTCGAAGCATTCCTGAATGGTATTTTCATGGAGTTATTCCGATTGTCCGTCACTGCCTCGCCTAGCGGCCCCTTCGAGGGTTGTCTCGATGGCTGCTCGGCGTACATCGTGAATCAGCTCTTAATTGAACCGACGCGATCGCGGAACAAATTGCGGAAAAACACGGTTGTTTGGAATTTTTACTTATCGGCGACTATCGCGTCGGAAATGCGACGTCGATAGGAGAATCGACGCGCTCGAGCAGCGTAACGAAGAAAAATGTCACGGCGAGTTCGAGCGAGTGGATGGACAGAGGTTAATCGAAATCTATAGGGCTCTCTCTAGGAAATCAAGAGTTATACATCCTCCCACGGGCCTACGCCGACTCGACTCCCTTCGTCTCCCTTCTTCGCGGGCGTTCCTCCCTATTATCCCGAATTACGCCTTATTGATACCGGATTGCCAGCGGTAATTTATATCTCGCGAGTGATTTAGCGCGTCCAAGCTTCTCGATTAACGAAGGCGCATTCGTTTCGTGACGATTTCTTCCTCCGCCGAAAGAAAACGATCGAAAGTAGTTGGTTCGAACATCGTAGATAGATGCTGCACGCCCGACAGAATATAGACAGATAAATAGCACTTGTCGAAGACGAAGAGCAGCGAACTCTAATCTTTGTCACTTTTGCGACGATAGCGAAGAAACTGTGAAGCGCGCGATATCTGAATGCGATGTCCAGAGTGAGTTTCGATGAAAGCTCCGCGAGATAGGGGTGGCTGACATTTCAATTGACAGCTCAATAACATAAAATTATTCTTATAATTATTCGTGGGAAACGTACGAATAGATTCGAACGAAAGGACCAGCATGGACCGACATAAACACGTTTATCTAGTGTTCCAGCGAACGGAATCGATCGGGATAGCAGCAAAACGTCGTATTTCGATCTATTCTAGAGTTTGAGTATGCTAAAACATGAATCGCAATGCGTTCAAACAACAATCCGTGAACTGCAGAATAAATGAAAAAATTCCAAAAGGGTTAATCTGTACGGTTTCGGAATTATCATCTCGAGTTTTCTCGATGCCCGATTCCGGCATCGATCCAAGGCGCGAAGATTGTCCTCTCGAAGTCGTTCGCGATGCATTCGATACCTGAGCAAGTGCGTGACACCTGGTCGCGATGAAATTGGTACACGCTCGCGTGCACGCGTACCCCTGTTGCGACTGAAACCTTGACGCTTCGTTGAGTTTTGGAGCGACGAGCCTAGAAGCTCTGCGCCCCGTCGCTCTTCTTCTTTCGACACCTTGCAAAGTGTTTTTATGCAACTTTAAAAGTTCGTACGTAAAAATCACGATCGATTTTCGGCACGTGAACGTCCTTCTTGAGAGCAGGTTGTGATTACGTCCATATTATACATCGACGAATACGTGAGAATCTAGCGGAGTAATCCATGCCCGGGATTATAGTTGATTACCAGTTGCAGGAGAATGTTGCTAAGCAGGAACTTCTCTCGCAGGAAATTTCTCTTGGTTCATTTATCGCGGTTTATTGCACAATTTATTACACTTGGCTAACACGAATCGTTTTTCACGTGCGGTCACCCGATCGAATAATTATGTAGCGTCGTGCGAGGACATTCGTCGAGCTTCGCGCGTTTTTTGTTTTGGGAGAGATGAAGGGTGTGACATTTTAATCAAATACTCTGAAAATAATCGCAATGTCGAAATACTCGCGAAAGAACCTTTACTAGAATTCGCGGTTGTAAAGTATACGGGCCTTGGCAGGCCACTGGCCAACCATTCGACTCATTTTTCTCTTGTTTCGATTAACCGGCGAGTATCGTGCCGGTGCATTCTGCGATCTCTTCTGGCGCATGTAACAACCCCGGATATTTTTCCACGCTGATGGGTCGCCTTGGTCGTCCGACTACCGAACTCTCATTAAAATTCATGAGTGCTCGCGTCTCTCTCTTCGTTCCCAGCCCCCTCGCGAAAGCTACACTAGTTCGCGCTTTCGTATGCGGTACGTAGGAACGCGAGCACCGCCACGTCGACTTCTGGACAGCGTAGAAGTTGCGCGCGTCCGAAGCATTTACATCACGGATTGGCGCGAGACTGCTCGATCGCGGCGAAATATTTACGAGCCATTTTCGCCACGACATTCGTTACTCGGGAAATATTGTCCAAAGGTCGTTGAACTCGAGAAACCAATTGTCTTGATGCAATTATCAAGAAGGATCGAGGCAGGATGAAGGAAGGATGAAGGAAGTCGAAGGATATTGTCCGGGAAATGAATTTCAACTTCTTAAACGATTTCTCGATGTTAACTATCTGAAATTATAGATACTCGTAAGTGGGACTGTAGCAACTTCGAAATTTTTCTCTACCACGATTCGATCGTTGTTCCGGGTCGATCAAGATTGTTAGAACTCGGTGTTTCGAAAACTGTTTAGATCGTTGACGCGTCGATTTCAATAAAGAGACATTTTTGCACGCGAGGAGACGCGATAATTCGCGAATCGAGTAGAAACTGCCGTCGGTCACGAATCGGAGATCACAAACCCATAGGGTGATTCGACGAACCCACGGAAAAACTAACCAAAAACTTTTCATGTCTCTGTAATCAGTTCACGAACTTACCAATACTTATTATTTTCATACAAAGATCCACTAACTCCACTTTTTGAAAATTCTTAAATTTATGTGTCAAAGCACTCTGTATAGTCAAAACTTTTTCTATTCACAATAACTTTCCTGAATAATAGAGAGATTAGCCAATGCGCATTAGGGGCCAGTTTAGGCTGAGACATTCTGTTTGTATCGAACCTCTTCGCGATGGTTCGGTTTTCCTGAGCGACAGTGTGGTGCATAACATGGTTGCGCGATCTTGATACTTTGTTCCTGGTAAAGAAGAGCCGATGACGTTATCGTTTAAAACGCCGCTAAAAATAATACGCGGTGGACATGCGGTGGCATCTGGGCGTCCCTCTCCCTTGGCGCTCGTTAATTTCCAACAATTTGTGCCGGCTCGGACAGCACGAAGATTCGACGCGTGGAAACGTACGATTCGAGCGGGTTAAGAGTCCGTCTCTTAATTGAACGCTCGAGTTTCAACGGCGACTCTTCTCCCTGGTGTTCCAATTACAGTCGCGCTAACGATATTTACCATTGTTAAGCCGAGCCACTCTCTCGCTGTTAGCGGTACCGCGATAACGCGCTTAATCCGGCGATAATTTCTATTCGCGGTAATCTTAATTACTCGCCGCCCCTTGATTTTCCCTTGGCGTCGATCCCGAGACGCCGAGGCGCTCCGCTGGGTGACTTCCGACGTCTCGTTCTCAAACTTGAAGAAAGGTCGTTGAAAACAATT